TCTGAAAACCTCTCTACAGGCAAGACAGCAGATCCTGATTGTGGGAATCAGACATTTCCCTCCTTTGCTTATCTCTTCAGAGCCTTTTATAAACATTAACCAGGGAAGTGGCCTAACTACCCAACAAAAAGAGCAGTCATTTTTGAAGGTGTCCAAGGTGGCACAGCCCTGAAATGACTGGATGGTTAATAACAGATCTGGACTCTCTGGTTTTCTTCTCACCAATGCAATAGCAAAAGGCTTTAGAACACCCAAATACTCATTTGCATGATGCAGAGGACTTAGGAGCTCTTCTTCCTTCAGCTGGCATTGCTGCCATCTGATTGACACATAACATCATTTATTTACTTTACTGATAGAACCTAATTAGGTATAATTGCTGAAGTATCTTAAATAATTCTAAATACAGGAATTGATTTGGGGATTAAATGGAATATGATAATTGTGTAATTGAACAAAGTAGCTGGAGTCCTCACCCAGCTAAGTGGATTTTCTGATTGTGGCTGATTGCATCAGAATATAAATCAGTCTGACTTGCATGGCTGACATCAGCTCCCCTCCTCCTCTCTAGAGCTGGATTTAAGTAGGTCACATCTTGCAGAACAGAGAAAGAGAGCAGAGAGCTTGGAGAGAAAACTCTTGGATTTGGTGCTAGATGATGAATCACTCCATGGTCTCTGCTCAGGAGAAACTATGTTCCTCTTAGGGATGGGTGCTTTTCCTAGGGGTATTGGGTGTTCTGTCACTGACCAGGAGCTGTTCAAGTCCTGCTTAGGTATGGAAGAATTTATGATGCTGCTTCTTTAATTCTTAAATCTCTCAATAGTTTGGGCCAAGATTTCCTGGGAGATCTCTGTCAAGATAACCCTATCAAGGGTAATTTTCAGCAGAAGTGATGAAATTTAAGCAACTTCACCACAAGGGAAATAGAATAGTTATTTAGGTACTTGGTGAAAGCATCTCTGTCTCTCAGATGTCCTTCTAGCCCCAGCTGGGTTAATCCTCATCTTGGATCTGTTGCCCTACTTGTTTTATTGGTGGACTCCAATATTCCAGTGGGAGTTGTCCAAAGAAGCTGGCTGAGGCTGGAGGAGGGCTCTTCAGGAGGGTTAGTTTTGTGGCCATATGCCAGAGTAATTAAGAAAGCTGGAAAGTGTGTGGTCCTTCCAAGTGGCTCTACACAAGCTATCAGTGCTCTGAATTTTTTTAAATTCAGAAAAAAACATGTAGTTCTAAAATGGCAGCTTTACATTGTGAACATCATGATTTATATTTTTTTAGTAATAGCACAGGCACACCAACATTAATTCAATTTAGAAAAGCATTGTTTCCAAAACTTTGCTTTTTCATTTCACCTGTGTGTTTGTGTGTGTTTCTGTGTGCAATTTAGATTACAGCTATTGGTTCACTACCTTTTCATGAAAGTTTATAACATTCCACATAAATGTTTATAACCACATTACTTCATGACTGCACTGGCTGGTAATAATTTATTAATGTTATAAAATTAGTTATAGCAGTTGTGTACCTGTATTAAAATGAACACAAGGAATAGAATGTCACCTCAATAAATAAGTTGCTTCTAATATTAAGAAAGACACTAAATTCTACTAACATTATTAATAACGTGCACGCATATCACTTTGTTCCCAATGAAGCAAAATATTTAGAGAATATTTAGAGAAAGATGGAAGTTTCTTATATTGGATCAATCAATCTGAACTTGTCATCATTCATTCCTAATTTTTTTGAAGGGAATGTAGTCCTTCTTTGGCCCTCAAAGCGGAACAGTACAACGAAAATGTTAATCAAAGGAAATTAAGTGTGAGGCTCTGATGTGCTCCCCTCTTCTTGAAACATTTCTGCTCCTCTTTGCATTCACACTTGATTGCTGTCCTGCTCATGCCAAAGTTGCACTAGCAGAATTGAGAACACCCTCCTGAGAACACCAGATTAAGTTCAGATTATAGGAAGGACCTATTGTCCTTCAGTCTGAGGAATCTTTCTCTACACAGGGAAAGATATTAAGTTCCGTGGGCGGCTCCCTGACATTTTCTGGAGGAGACACAGTCCTCTGGCAGGCATCCTCGCTGGAGATCAATCCCCTAAAATAAGATAAAACTGCCTAGTCACTGTGACTAAGCTGTGGATCCCTTCCTGTTTCAGGAACTCATGTTATCTCCCTGTTAACTATTGGCCACCTTATCCTGGTCTCAGACCACTGGTCCCCTTCCTGATTCTCCCCTTCCGTATAAAAACCCCAGCTTTTACCCAGTTTGGGGTTAGACCATCACTGGCCCCCTTCGCTGAAGCCTGCATTAAACACTCTGTGGAACATTATATGATCTTCCCATCTCGTCTGCATCGGCAGGGGTAACCTCTGAATGGAGTTGGCTGGGCTGAACTGAGCTGATCACAGAGCAGAATTTAGCAGATTTAGCAGAAATCGCTCCTAAAAGAGCTGATCACCTTGAAGCTTTTGCCCATGCTCCAAGGGTTACCCCGGGCTGGAGGCTGTCTGCAGAACCCTGGATGCCGGCTCTGTCCTGTGGGATGACTATCTGGGCTCATTGCTGGCAGAAGCCAGGGACAGGCGCCCAGGACCTAGCCTGCAACAACATTTGAAGCTGTAAGTCAGCAAAAGTGCAAAAATATCCTGCAAAACTAATAAATTGCAAAATGTCATTCAGGCTGAAAATAGGGACATATGTGTGTGTGTGCACATTAAGAAAAAAAAAAGCATTCTTACTTTGGTGCATCTAATAGTAATTTCACTTTTTAGGCTACACTGTAGTTTGGAGTTTGAAAAAATATTTTGGAAAAGAAAAGGAAATGATAGCTAATTTGAGATGTCATGCTGAGCTAGAAGAAAGATTCATATCAGCAGGGATTTTCACCATGTTTACCTCTGGCACTGGGACAGGTAACTCACCCATATTTATAGCATAAGCAGACAGGTAACTCACCCATATTTATAGCATAAGCAGAGAATGAGCTTTGTGATAGGTACGTACACAAAATGAAAGTTTGAGTAGCTGAGCCCTCACCTTGCACTTTGAGAATCTGCTTACATTCAGCAGAGATTTCTGTCAGCAAGGACCAGTAATTTACACTTTGTGAAGGCACCAGTCATTTGTTTTCAGCCATCACTAAGCTTAGAGACCATTTTGAAATTTAGGGAATGTTTCTTCCTACTAGACAGGCCACCTCCTTAACATCTTGGAACATACTTGTATATGCAATAGCCTGTAATGTTCCTATAGCAAATTTTTATTCATGTGCTGAATTCCATAGATAAACTTCTTGAAGTCTATCAAAACTAGTTTTTTTGATTATTTGTTTTGAGGGATAAAATTTAATGTACTTATCTTGGTTCAAAATTAAATGTACTTATCTTGGTTCAAAATTAATGTCAAGAAGATCAGCATATTTAGTCCATATATTGAGTATATGCTCTGAAGTTATCATTTCTATCTTTAATCAAGGATGAACATTTGGAAAGGAAGGCAGAAGGACAAACTCAAAAACATAGGTCCATTGTCCTATTTTGTGTGGTACCTACCCAGTTAACTCCAAACATGATTTATTGCCCATTTTATGTGTTGTGGGACACTGTAGAGCAGCTACTATCACCTGTATCATACTTTCAAATCATAATGGTGGGTGCTCACATAAAGGAATAACAAAATATGGTTTAAAGGCATTACAGATTTCTCTTGCTAGCCTGTGGTACACAGGACCATTGTGAGCAAAAGCTTAAGGACTGGCAAACTTCAGCTGATTGTCCTGATGCTGATGTTATATCCAAGACTTTAGTTACTGTAAAGTCTACAGGCTGAATATGAAAGTAAAACTATTCTGGCTTACTGATGGATCTTCATGTTTGCACTGGATGAGGATGAACACTTGTATCTGAAAGGCCTAAGTGACCATCTGCAGTTTTAATGTAATTTTCTAGGCTAAGGACCTGGACCAAAATGAGGACTTCAGTTTCATGTTGCATCTTCTTTAGAACATGCACCAAGAATAAGGAATGATGTTTATAAAGGCTAAAAGACAAAAAGGATTTTATCATTGTTCTCTATTCTTTAGTAAAACTTAAATCTAATTTCCACTTTCACTTAAAACAGGCCAATGTTTAATATGGGTAAATTTTAAAAGTCCCTTGATGGATTAAATGTCCTGTATTTCAGGTTGTTGGACCTGAAGATCCAGCAAGAAATTATCATTCTTAACCTTTTACTTTCAAAGCCTCAACACTAAGTCACATAGCCAAAAAAAACATTAGCAAAACGAAGATCAGTGTAGGTCCCTTCCTATCTGCTCATGTGTTGCTGGTCTTTCTCAGCAGTTCCTGCTCTATAGCTCTGATAAAGGCTTTGCTAATGCATTAGACACTAGATGCCTCACAGAAGCTTTAATGATGGTTGAACTTTTGACATCAGCCTAAATGACCTGATCATAAAATAAAACAGCAGTTTGAACACCCAAAATCAGTAGGCAGGTAAAACTCCAAGATCCAGAAAGCTTAAAACTGCATACAGAAGGCTATACTAACTTTTCTGAAAGACAAAACCTGATTTGATTATTTAGGGAAAGAGCAGGAAATAGTGCAGCTTTCTGTTGATCCATGGGATGTAGTTTTGAGCTTCCACCTTTTGTGCTACATCTCAAAAAAGCAGGTGTTCTCATATGGTGCTCGCTGTTTGTGAGTCTGCAGCATGCATTCAAATTAAGGTTTTAGCCAACTGGATTTAAAAACGCTGGTTTATGACCAGAATAAGGTTACTGATGCAACTGGAGTACTGAAAATGAATGACTGAAGATGTATTATTGTTCCACCTGCATAGATCCCTGGGCTACTCTGAAAGCAACTGAGAGGTGAACACATCTCTGAAATACACAGTAATTCCTTTCATGCTTACATATTTCCAGGGCAGCCCCATGCCACCGTTTGAGCAATTTTTAGTCAGAGAAAATGTTATAAACCATCAATTTATTGTTCTACAACAATGGGTATAAACTCTTATGCAAGAAATGTAGTATAGAAATGTAGTATCAAGTCCCAAGAGCTCACAGAACATTTCTAGACACTGGATTTTGACAGTATCTCCCAGACACAACTACTGCTAGAGAAATACCTGTTTTTTCCAAACAGAGGTGGACTTCAGGGTTTTCAGAATTACTTTTGGTATCAAGAAGTCTTCCAGTGGACACCACTCCACCTTCAGTGATGACAAAAAGCCTTGTGTTATATGGCCACTGCATTTTCAAAGTAAAGACTTTTCAAAGTATGTAAATAGGGGGGGGGCATTCATTCATGGTATTTTGTTTTTGCTTGGTGGCTTTTATATCACTCATTTCTTGCCTTAAAAAATATTTGGAGGCTGCTGAACCTAGAACAGATGCCTAACTTTCCCCACTCAGTAGAAACATACCTCTAAATTCCAGCAGGGCAAAGAACTGGAAGTATTCAGGCTGCCACTGGAGTAGCCCCAGTGAGAACATGCTCATTCTGCATCAATGTCTGTTCTCATTAAAGCTCCCCTAAGTCTCAGGCTGAGAGGGGCTCTTAATTAGAAGAGATTAGGAATTGAGATTTTGTGACAACTCATTTTCTTGGCAAAGATAGCAACAAAAACCAAGAACGACAGAGCCTTAATCTCTTTCTCTGACAACTTTAAGGCTGTAATGAAAGCAGACAGCTACTGAAAATGCTTCCCTTTGCTTCTGGAACCAGAGTTAAGTGTCCCTGCTATGGAGCACTGGTGGCAAGCAAAAATTAAGATAATATTAGTACTAAAATCACCACTGGCTTAGACCCCTCATGAAGAGGCCACTGGAACACACATTATGTACTGCCTCAAGCATAACTTCAGTACTCAGACAAGGTACAGTACCTGACTTCAACAGAGGTTCCAGAATTCTCCGCATCTCAGTTGATCTGTGAGTATTGTTCTGCCAGAAATACTTGCCAGGTCAGAGAAGTAGTTACAAGGGGCTGCATTAACAGAGCTACAATTCAATATCGCTTGCAGTACTGTGGCCTGCAAATATAAAATTAAAAGAGAGAGGCCCACAAAAAGCACACTGAAGTAGACAATTATCAATAAAAGTTGGTGTCACACTGTGGTGGCGTGCTTTCAATAAGTTTGAGATTTGTTGCACAAATGGTTTGTTCTGTTTCCCCTTTTGATGTTGGTTTCTTCCAAGTTGTACCCTCCTCCCTGCTGCCATCAATCATTGTACCCCAACCCCTTTTCCCAGTGCCTTGCCTGACAGTCATTGTGACCCTACCTCTTTATCCAGGTCCCTCCCTGTCAGTCTTGCTTAGCACCAACCCTTTGTTCTAGAATCCTCCCTGTCAATCATATTGTATTTGAAGCTCCATTGGATTTTGTTAACTGTTCCTGCCCCCAAAGCTTTCCCATTGGTTCATGTATTGAAGGCTCCGCCTTAAACTCCTCCCCTAGGGCTTCCCTGTTGATTCATGATCTGTATCCTCCCCTTACTTTTCCCCCGTATGTAAGATGTTGCATAGCATACAGCTTCTGTCTTTTGTCCCTGGCTCCCTTGGAGATTAAACCCATCTTCAAAACCCATACAAAACCCCTCATTCTTGCCTCCACACTGCGCTTGACCAGCCAAAAGTGCCATAGAGCTTTGCTCTAAGCCGCACCTCGGGTCATCCTGCTGCCGAGCTGTGTCCCACTCCTGACGCGGGGCAGAGGGAGAGCTAGCCGGCTCCGGCACCGCATCATCACACAGAATAATAAAAAGCCAAAGAACCTAAAATATTTGTTAAGATGTTCAGCAGATAGGCAAACGTAGAAAAGCCTTCTGTGTGGAAAGAATTGTGCAAATTAATACCCTGATTTGGAAACATACTTAGCCCTTGGAAAGAAGAGGAAGGATTCAGTCTGTGAGGAGAAGGCTGAGATGACGTGCTGTAACAACCCATGCACAAAGAAACACAGTGTAACAGGGAGCTTGCCTGGGATTTGTGCAACACAGGTTTTGCAGCAGGCTTCTTTTTGGCATATTTTCAGGGTAAGGCTATTTGCACAACTAAACAAGCAACAGCAACTCTACGCATATATGCTTCGATGAATACCTTTTTATAAGCATTTAGATACATGTACACGCATAGTGTATAATAGATAATTCAATATGAGTTTTTGAAAGCCTTTTATGTAGAGTGCAGACATTTTTCCAAGCTATCCAAAACAGCGAACAAGTCAAGCAGACCTCTGCATGTCAGGCCCTTTCTGTAGGCTGCACAAAGGGAACTGTAATGAGAGACCTAGCACAGGATAATGAGGTATTTGTGCATGTTTACATGAAGTCCTCCAAAATGTGACGAATAATAATGGAGGAAAAAAGCTTGCTGAGTACCTTTGGCAGCAAAAGAGATAGAAGAGAGCATCCTTGAGGGCTGATTAGAGGGAAGATGCAGATTCTCACCTTGAAAAAGGAGACAAGCTCATGTTTGATGGAAGAGAGAAGGAGAGTTTGCTGCCCCATCATTCTTTGGTGATTTCTGGTGTCTGGACCCTGCTTTTTTCTCTTGTTTGACACCCAGAATTATGCTATTTCAGGCTTTATCTTTGCTCTTACTGTTTTTCTGGCTGTGATCTGTGAGTAGGTTTTTTTGCACTTCTGATGATTTTAATTATTATTGCACTTTTTCCCAGGTCAGACTCTAGGTTTCACCCTGCATGCATACATGATGCCATGCCAAAGGAAAGCACAAAGAGACAATAAAAACAGTGCATTCCCTGAAGGCTCTAGTTGTCGTATCTCCAGCATTCATGAGAATCTAATTCATGTTAGGTCCCAAAATACTGAAGAAAATATTTCCCCAGCCCTAACCACTTTTCTCTGCAAACATGTTCAGACTCCTGCATCATTTGTTAGTAGTATTTGCTGTTTGCTGATCCACATAGTTTTGGCCATGTGAATTTGGGTTGTTGCTGAGTTTCACTTTGAGATTTGGGGTCCTTTCATAGGAACTGGCAGCACAAGGATTCATTTAGACTGAAAGCTTCACCCAAAAGTAATCTAAACTGCCCTCTGCTTTAACATCAGCCAGAGGACTTCTTCAGATTCACTGCTCTTTGCATACAGTTGCACCAAAAGTTAAAATGCCTGCCTAGATTTCCCAACCTACAATGAAGCAGACTTTATCATACGCCTTTTATAACATTCACTGTAATAAAACCACTTAATATTTCTGGTTTAAGCCAGACAATCTTTAATTTGCAGTCCTTGACTCTTTTTGTCTTGTGGACTTAACACCTGACTTAAGATGGATCAGACCACAGGTCTTCATCTGCTTCAGTCACCTTTATGGTTAGGATGAGAAATAGGCCTGTCTTCAGTGTGGTTTAGCTATGTTCAGAGATAGACACCTGTGGGGACATTTGGACTGCAGAGACTGTCAGTCAAATTAATTCTATGATCAGACTGCTAAAGCCAAACTTAAACTTCTTTTTATGGGTGAAACAGTTTAATTTCACAGAGGAGCTATTCTCTAATTATCCCAGCAGCTCTTCTCAGAAAACTCTTCCAACTTTTATCCCTGGGTTATAGTAATACCATTCTTATAAAACATATTGATCACAGAATTCATGCTCTCAAATTTTATGCAACCTGGTTCCTTTCCTTCTCAGCAACATAGACAGTTCACTAAAGGACAGTTTTTAAAGTTAAGGCAAAAAAAAGTAGTATTTCTATAGCAAAGTCAGCTGTGGTGAGAGGCTTTGGTATGGATGAAGAAATAACATGTAAGCCAGCAAGGAACCTGAATGTCTTGGTTTTAGAAGATAGGTGTCTGCTAGGGAGGGCAGGAGCCTCCCTTGGAATAAAAAAATTTTATCCTCCCTCCGAATTATTATAATTCTGAAATCAAGGGGCTCTCAGGCAGAGATCTGGGGATAGGAATAACAGTTCTTTACTTGTGTTTATAACCAGGCAAACAAACATTAGCAAGAAAACAGAACCAGGGACCCCGTGACAGCTTTCTCGGCTGAGACGGGAAGGGATGGAGGAGAGGTTTTGCTTCACAAACCCCCTTGGGCAGTCAGTCCCAGTGCTCCTGCAGGGCTCTGAGGAACAGTCAGCTGGAACAGCAGGGATGAGCTGAGATCCTGGGCCGGTGGCTGAGGTGTATCAGCAGCTCCGCGGCGGTGGCTGGCACTGCCACACGTCCAGGCAGGACAGGGGGTGCGAGGCCACCAACAAAGAGGGGAGAAGGAGACGAAACAGCAGCTCCGTCTGGGTGATGGTGAAATTCCCCTCTCCCCACTGCAGCAGCTCTGCACCCAAAGTGTTCTTCATCGAAGCTAAAGAAGCCTGCCAAACTGTCCCCACCCTCTCCTTTTCCTGCCCCCTTCCCCTCTGGGCCCAGCCAAAGAACTCTGTGTTTTCTCAAGCACCCACCAAGTACCTGCCATTAGGTTTTTCCCAAAACTAATGGGTAAAAATTCCACAGGTAAGCCAGAACTAAAAGAAAACACCTAACCCCCAACACTGAACCAGGCTCAGGCCCCATGTGCTCAGAGCAACATACTGGTTTTTTCTACACGGTACATTCTTCATCAGCAGATTTTTAGTCCATTAAAAAAAATAAAATACCACCCAAAATGTAAACAAACAAAAAACCCTACAACCAACCAATGCCGTTACAGTTAGAAAGGCAAAATCCTTCTGGTTTTTTCAACAAGACCGCTAAGGAGATCACCTGCCCATAAAACATGGATAATCAGAAAAGCAGGGTAGGGAT